GTACGTACAGAACTGGGGTACAGGCCAGAGATGCAGAGGGTGAGAGGATTCACCAGAGACAGAGTGGAGAGCAGAACAGGCAGATCGACTAAGTACACTGCTGAGGGGAGCAGCGGGCAGGTCAGGAGAGGTCTGCCACATCATGTGGGTCACCTCCGGGGCAGGTGGGAATCGAACTCATGCGGAAGTGGCTTTAACTTCTTAGTGCTGTGCTTTAACCCGCTGCGCCACCAGGGAGGGCCCAGAACCAGAATTTTTTTAAAAATCTGTGAAGCCCCATTAAGCAGGTGTCCCAAAGCAGCCAGATTAAGTGGAGAAAATGAAGCATGACAAGCCCTCAAATTAGGAAACACTTCATTACAGACATGATGGTATGTGTAGAAGCAGTGATAGAATTTTGGAAATCTGCATGTCACCCCCTCCAGTGTGGAACTTGAGTTAAGACAATGACCATTATTGGATGCTACTTCCAGTAAATGAAAGTTATCCCAGAATAGTGTATTCACACAGAGCCAACCATTATCTCCCACACTGCATACTCCCATAAATGCTCCTGCACAACTGAGAAAAGTGGCTGATGGCCAAAGGAATAAATGTAATATGAGGAGTAGTGACAAGCTGATGGCATGTGCCACCGATGTGAATTGTCGGTTCTTGCCAAAAATATTAATCCTGAGTCTAACATGGACCTAAATCTAATCTCCAGTATATAGTAAAGAAATAAGTTAAGTGAGAAGATGAGTGTCCATCTGTTTGGATTGCTGTAACCAAATACTACACACTGGGTAGCTTCTAAACAACAGAAAATTATTTCTCACAGTTCTGAAGCAGGAGATCCAGGGTCAGGGTCCCAGCTTGGGTGGGTGAGGGTCCCCTTCTTTTTGTATCATTGCAAGGTAAAAGAGATGACACCAACTGTTTGAGACAAAATTGTGGAGTAAGAGAGCATGAACAGCATTCTGAAGTCTACAGTCCATACAATAGTTGTACACAAAACAATCGCCTGGTCCTTGGAAGAGATGGGAATTAGCATCAGAAGGCCAAAGACTGAAACCCTCAGGGGTCTCTTTTATAAAAACACTAATACTATTCACTGGGGCTCTGCCCTCAAACACCCAAAGGCTATCTCCTAACCATTTTAGGGAATAATTATTTTTTAAGGTTTATTTATTTATGCATACAAGAACTGGGGGGGAGGCCAGAGATGCAGGGGGTGAGAGGATTCTCCAGAGACAGAGTGGGGAGCAGAACAGGCAGATCTACTAAGGGGAGCAGCAGGCGAGACAGGAGAAGTCTGCTGTACCATGTGGGTCACCTCACTGGCCGGGGATTGAACTCATGCTGCAGTGGCTGTGGACAGCTTCATAGTGTTGTGCTTTAATCCCTGTGCCTACAGGGAGGGCTTGGGGTGGGGAAAGGAGTGAAAGGGTGGGTGGGGAGGAGGGGCAGAAAGGATAAGGAAGCCACAGCTGTTCCGACTGAAGCAATGAGGATGCAATTTCACATGAGTAGATAAAACATTTAGCAAAACAGTGTTTTTTCCTCAAAGGTAGTATCATGGTGGGGATGGTGGAGTGGGGGGGGGGGGCAGCAGGAAGATTCTTCCAGAATTAGACAAGACAAACCAGATCCAACAATCAAATGTATTGTATGGGTCTTGTTTGGATCTTATATTTAAGAGAAGAAAAACAGCTATAAAATATTTTGGGGGACAACTGAGGAATGTTTAGTGTGGAATGACTATAAGGACATTTAAGGATTAAGTGTGGTTATATGTCAGGGGTAACAATGATTTATGAACATAGAAGAGAACATCCTTGTGTTAAAGAAGAATGATGAGTTTAACAGTGAAGGTCTGGGGTCTGCTACTTATTTTCATATGGGTTAGAAAAACGTGTGTATACATGTACGTCTATAAGAATATATTCATAGGCCCTCCCTGGTGGCGCAACAGGTTAAAGCGCAGCACTGAGAATCTAAAGCTGCTTCCGCATGAGTTCGATTCCCTCCTGCCCCGGAGGTGACCACATGGTGCAGCAGACCTCTCCTGGCCCACCCGCTGCTCCCCTCAGCAGTGTACTTCGTCGATCTGCCTGTTCTGCTCCCCACTCTGTCTCTGGTGAAGCCTCTCACCGCCCCTGAGCTTCTGGCCTGTACCCCTGTTCTGTATGCACAAATAAATAAATCTTAGGAAAAAAAAAGAATATATTCATATATGTATATGTGCATGTGTAAATAGAGGGGGAAGTAGTACCCCAAAATGAGTCTGACTCCAAAGGTCCCACAAACACACTTGAAAACCAGTGAGCCAGGCAATGAACAATCTCGATTTCCCAAATGAGTATTTCTGACAGGGGCTGCCGAAGCAAAACTGCAATCCATCTCATCACCTATGTCTCTGTTCGCACAGCACCGCAGTCACATAACACCTGGGGTTTCTTCTAGCAGCTTCACATATGTTCTAGGTGGTTCTCCTGTCTGGAATGTTGCGAAAGCTTTTATAATCTTGGATCCTGTTTGTTTGTTTTAACTTTTGAAAAAGTAGGCTCCCGGCAGCATTCTGGCAACATGGAAAGAGAATCTGAACTCTTATCTGAGGTAAATCGGTAATTATGACTGCAGTGGGGGTGTGGGAGCAGATGGCCTTTTCCTTAGATTTCACAATGTCTTGAGACAATGTATTATTTCTTCTTCTGTAAATTAAAGGGGCTAAGACTCCATAGTGCCTTCTACCACTAATGCTCCAACCTTCAACACCATTTGGTCCAAGACAAAATTGTGCAGTGGGAACAGGAAAAGCACCCTGAAGCATGAACACAAAATGCATGCATTTCATGTGATAGTTCTGCACAGGACATTAGGGTGGGAGAGATCAGAATTAGCATCAGAAGGCTGTTGCTCTACGAAGACTCTACTGCTATGACCTCAACTTTTACCAGCAGTGTGACTTGGACAACTTGGACTTTGCTAAGTTATGTCACTTGAAAATGAAGGGGCTGGGAGTCTTCCTGATGGCACGAGGGGTTAAGTCTCAGTGCAATGAAACTATTAGCAGCCACTGCAGCACAAGTTCAGTCCCCAGCCAGGGAGCTGACCCACATGGCACAACAGACCTCTCCTGTCTCCCTGCTGCTCCCCTCAGCAGAGTACTTTGTTGATTTGCCTGTTCTGCTCCCCACTCTGTTCTGATGAATCCTCTACCCTTCCTACAGCTCTTATATGCATAACTAAATAAAAGAAAGAAAGAAAATGAAGGTGCTATGGGCAATAATAGTTATTTTACAAAGTTTTCATGAAAATCAGATGAGTTAAATGCTATGAAGTTGCTTTGTAATATGAAATTATGATAAAATGACCCTATCAAATCAAGTCAAGTGAATGAACAATGAAGCATCTCAAGTCCCAACAAAGATATCAAACAGCAGGTTTGTTCTTTCATTCATTTGATAGCACTATTGGGTACTTCCTATGGGTGAGAGTTGTGCTAGAATATGGAAACTAACTGATGATCTTCTTATAGATGTAGTTATAGATGACCATATAGATAGATTGGAGATAAGGGGAAGTAGTGATGGAGTTCTCTCGCCAGCTTTATTAAATCATCACAGCACCATGCAGTGAACCAACAGCCCCATGAGAAAGTCCTGTGGTTATATCTATATTTTGCATCAGAAAAGTGAGGACAGGAATGAAAGAGAGACAATAAAGACCTAGAAAATATTAGTAAAAGTGTAGTTCAAAGAACGGAGCATTGACTCAGAAGGTTGAATGTACAGAACACAAGAAACAAGGGGGTGAAAGGAATAAGAAACAAAAAAAAGCAAGAAGAAACTCCA